GCGACGCAGAGGGGCGCGGGGCTGGTGCCTGCCACGACAAAGGGCTTGTCCGCGCGCCCGCCCGCCCCGGGGAAAGCACCTACTTCCCCGAGCCGCTCACGCCCATCACCGCCAGCAGCACCATGGCGAGCCCCGCCGCGCGCCTGCTCCTCCGCTGCGCCCGGCCGCAGCCCTCCCGCCTCCTCCCCGTTCCCGGCCCCTCCTCCCGGCGCCGCCTCCGAAAAGGCACCGCGGCCCCTTTCATGCCCAGGGAGGCGGGTGCTGCTGCTCCCCGCCAGCCCAGGCCAGGCTGTTTGCAGACTTCACACGCCTCCCTGGCTCCCGCAGCGAGCTCTGTTCATTCTCCACCCAGAGGGATTTCTGTTTGGGCGCCTGCCAAGCACCATTCCGCTCACCCTGTGCTAATAGCCCCAGCCTGCTGGTGTTTGACTCCGCTAGCCCCGTCGATCCGACCTCTGCTGCTACTCCCAAGGGATGTAGATGTGATGACCAAGGACCATGGGCACCTCCTTCGTCCCAGCCTTCAGGACCTCTACCTGATAGCATGGATGCTCCCTAGTGACATCCTGGGATGTTTGTTTTAAGGTAGTGCAGGAAGTGCTGCAGGAGGCCTTCAAGTAGATCGAATTACCTTTACTAAATGGAAGAGATGCTCCATTTGATCCATTTTGCGGTATCTTTTGTTTTTGAAACAATAAGCGTTAGCTCTTAATTCCACTAGAGTCTATTTGGCAGCTGTCCACCCTCCTATATGTAACCCGCTGACCCCAGGCTCCATGTCCTCCTCCTGTAAAACCAGCTGGATCTTGACTTGGGGTTTGTCCGCCTCCTGTATATAACCAATTAACTTTTTTCCAGCCCTATGCCTATCACATTTGTAAGGAGCTTGCTCAGATTTATACCCATAGTTTCAGGGCCTGTTGCCACAGTGGTGTTTCAACTTTATTCTAGCAAAGTTGATGGGTAGCTCCTTTGAGCTACTAGTGTCTTGTTCTCTGTAACACCTGTCAATGACCGTGTCTTTCATGGTTTCCAGTTACCTTAGCCAGAAAAATAGGTGAGCTGTGAGCTTTAATATCAGCCTCCCTGTAATTTTTTTTTAAGGACAGTTTTCCTTTGACCTCACACAAGAAGTCTAAAGTGGCTGAATTTCACATTAATCAAATAAAATTTATTTGCCAATGTTCTTTTCAAAGCCTCTGTGATGGATAGGAGTGCTGGCCAGCACCTGGTCACTAAAGGGTTGAACTCAGGTAGCTAGCAAGGGTGTTGGCAGGGGGCCAGCAGAACCAATGGGGATACAGTGCTGAAATTTGATTTGGATATAAATACCTGGTCTGCTCTCCCTTTGTGTGAATTCTAAGTTAAGGGCTGGAGGGAGCAGATGCAGTACTCAGAATTACCATGCCTATAAGAAATATAGGACATGGGAGTGAACTGGGCCTCAAAGTACCGATCAGCACGGATTGGGAGTAGAAGGCAAAGGTGTATTTAGTCACAATCAGGGTATATTTCTTTGTTTTGGTTGTTTGGTTAAACATCTCTGTGTGAATTTATGCCTTCCCTCCCCCATTCACTATCTAAGAGCATGCCCAGAGATGTTTGCTTCCCTCCCCCATTCACTATCTAAGAGCGTGCCCAGAGATGTTTTTAATTTGTTTTATTCAGTTGCTCTTTAACACCTAGCAACCAAGTAAGCTTTATCAAGTACAGTTGTTAATTGATTAAAAAACAACCCTTTTAAGACCCTGATCAGATTCCTGCGTACTAGAAAGTGGAAGGTTCTATGTGCATGTGCTTAAGACTCCAAAGCAAAACTACTAAAAGAAATTACAATTTTCAATCTCTCTCTAGAGGGAGGGTTAAAAGAGCTTGTGTGCACCTCACAGAGAGGAATTCCCAAGTGTGCCTTACTGGGTTCTCAAAAGGGCCTTACATTTGGGTGGTGGCAGGAATCTGTGACCTTGGAGAGTTTTAACACAAGCCTTTAGTGGGAAGGTATTTTAAAAAGTTTCTTGTGGGCCCCCACCTTCTGCCTTCTGAACCTGACCAGCGGCTGACTCCGAGAAGCTGGGGGAAAAGCTGCTCTGCCCCCGACTTCCCCGAGTCAGCCGCTGGTCAATTTCAGCAGCAGCTGAATCGGGGAAGCTGGGCGCAGAGCAGCTCCAATTGTCTGGCTGCCCGGAGCACTTCCGGGTTCCCGATGGTGCCGGACCATCAGGAGTGTCGGAGCATTGGATGCCGGACCAATGGAGTTTTACTGTATATCTTTTTGTTTTGTTAATAAAATCTCCTTTTTTAAGGCAATGATTTGATTCTTATGTCCTCGAAAGAAACAGGAGGTCTGTCAGGGTGTATGTATGCATGCCTAAGAATAAGAGGTCAGCTGCCAGAGACTGCAGTTTGTTTTCTCTTTGTTTTCAAGCTCTCATGTGGTAAAGGAGCTTGGGGGTACCCCTCTGGAAGAAGTCCAACTGCTTTCTTCCTGGGTTCAAGAATTCGCTTTGGGGTGGCGGCCCCCCCCCCCCCCCCCAAAAGGGTCCATGAATCTGTGACTCTGGGGCTTTTTTGTAAGCAGAGGCTATGGAGGCAAGGTATTTATGGTCTCTTGTGGGCGCCCATCATCTGCACTCAGACTACCAGAGTGAGGAATAGCCCTGACAGCCTCATTTGAATAAAAAGGGAAGAAAAGCTCCATATTCTAGATATTAGTAGAGATTTGGCTTTTTACCTGGAATAGGCTAGTCTTCAAGTTTTCATTTAATCTCTTTATTGTAGTTTCAGACAGAATAAAGGCCAACTCAGCATCCACTCTGAGGACTCTTCCTGAATTTCTGCCTGTTTTCATTTATGCTGATTGTCTTATATTGCAACTCACAGGCAATTTCTGCATGTACTCAGTCTGCAAAGTGGTAAGGCAGCCACTTGGTCATTACTACATATATTCGTATCTCAGCGAATCTAGAGACAATGCTAGATTTGGATGGATTATTCTACAATCCCTATTCAAGTAGTAGACCCTGAGTCCATCTACATTCCACTAGCTTGTGAGGCACCTATGTGAAATGAACATATGCAATCGCTCATACCTACCTTTTGGTAACTTGTTCTTTAAGATTTTGCATATATGTCTAGTCTGTGACCAACCCCCCTTCCAGAAAGACCCCAATAGGAAGAAATGGGGGTGGAAATCAGAAGTAGAATGGCCCTTGATTCCTGCATGCAGAGATCAGGGATGTTAAATTTACATTAATTGGCTAATCGAATAGTCGATGCAATTTGAATCGACTATTCAATTAGTCGATAAGGGTGCCTCTGTCTTTGAAGTGGGCTGTTGTTACATTTCAAAGATGAAAGCGCTGCAGGGAGCATGAAAGCTCCTGCTGGCCCCGTGCTCCCCACAGTGTTTAGTCCCCAACTGACCCTGGGCTCCACGCAGCACTGCCGCTTTGAAGCATCCTCTTCTCTTCCCCTGCCTTGCTGCCTCTTTCTGATAGAGGCAGCAAGGGTGGGAGGGGAGAGCTACTAATCGACTAGTGTGTCGACTATCTGATAAAGCATTTGCTTAGCAGATAGTCAACTGGTTGTTCACACAATCATGTGCCGAAAGTGTCCATCTACTATGTACATTGGACAAACGTCTCAGACACTTCGCCAAAGGATCAATGCCCACAAAACAAATATCAGACAGGATCACAAAGAAAAACCAGTTTCTTGCCATTTCAACCAGAAAGGACATTGTCTCAATGACTTGATTACCTGCATCCTGCTTCAAAGACCTTTTAAGACTTCACTTCAAAGAGAATCCTCTGAACTGTCATTCATGCTTAAATTTGACACTTTACACTCAAATTTGAATAAAGGTGCTAATTATCTTACCCTTTACAAAGATAGCTTCCCCAATTATCACCTCTAATATCATTAGCTCACAGACATTTACCTCCCCCCTCCTCCATCCCCCTTCTGTTCTGAAATTTGATTTGTCCTTTTTATATGTGTTCTTTTTTTTTAATTGTATCCTTTGGTATATATGGTTGTGACAATTTTCTTCCACTATTTGATCTGAGGAAGTGGGTCTGGCCCATGAAAGCTCATCACCTATTAAACCATCTTGTTAATCTTTAAAGTGCTACATAGTCCTGTTTTTTGTTTCAGCTGCATCAGACTAACAGGGCTACATTTCTACCACTATCCCTAGCAGTCACTTGAGTCACTAGAGGGTGCTCATGCTACTCCAATGGGGGGCAGCTGAGGGAAAAATCTGAGAACTCTGTGCCAGGAGTGCACATATGTATAGTGGAAGGGACGTTTACAATGTAAGTAACCATTTTATCTGAAATACCTTAGTAAGTAAATGCATAAAGGAAGAGCAGACGGTTTTCAACAAGGATCTCTACTCATTAATCAGGCTTATTTTCCCAGGATCTTACCCTGCAGCTGTTCCATGTGTAAAACTCCTGTTAGTGGGTGTAATTCTACAGTCCTTACAAAGATAAAACTCTCTGTGAATTTTTGGAGACAAAGGGCCTGATTCTCAGATCAGCCCCCAGAGCATTTGGTGAACCAGGGATGGGAGCTCCAATGGTTTCTTTTATACCCTCTCTGACTCTGGGACTGGTTCTGACTCTGGGAATGGCATAGTAATCAGCATCATTAAAGTAGCCCCAGGGTTTTCCTTGGTCATGCCAACAATGGGGGGGCCCAGCAAGAAGTGTAGGAGCCTTTGTGGCATCTCTAACCACTGGAAGATTTCCCTATGCACAGGGGAAACCCTACCCCACAGCCCTGCTGGGCCTGCTAAGCTGAGGGCAGCCTTGTACCAGTAGACCAAATGTAAAGTTGCTTGAATAGATGTGAGATTCAGATTTTATTTTACCGTATCCAATTCTTCTTAGTGTAGTATATTCCTCCAGGGCACATTGTATGCATAAATCCAAACAAAAACTGAAACATGAGCTATGAGCCACCTGTCTTAGGTTTTTCTTTTCCTGCCCATTAGTCACAAAACAGGAATGGTAATATTACATAAAGCATCATCTCAGTCTGACTTTGAAGTTTGAGAACTGAAAATAAGTTATATAACTGAATCTCACTAATGGTAAAAAGAGCACAAATCAGAGGATACTCCAAAGCGATCTATAGCTAACTTGACTAGCATATATGCGTGTGTATAAGGTTATATTATTCTATTTATACAGATGAATAAAATCAATTCTAAATATAAAAGTCACTTCATTTTAAATATATCCATAACAGTAAAGGAAGATACTGTACTGTGCAAACACACAACTATTTGATGAGGTATTGAGAGAGTGAAGATACATCCAGAATATTAGCTTTTCCGGACACTAAAAACATGTTCTAAGCTTTATGGACCAAATTCTGCTATATTGCATCAATGTAAATCCAGAGTAACTGTAAGGATGCTAACATAGTTATCCAGATTTACGTCAATGTAACTAACAACAGAATCTGTCCAAAGTGGTTAACACAAATCAAAATTAGGGCGTCCCCACTATAGGTCATCCAAGTATACATCCGTTCTGCACTAAAGTCATTGACGCTTGTAGGAACTGATGCATTATAAGTCCTCCCATTCTTGCAAAAAAAAAAAAAACCCAAAAAAACCCTAAAACAATATTTTGCGCAAATGGAAGTCAGCTATGGGAAAAAATTCCCTGCTTTAAGTTGTTCCGCTATAAGTGGAAGTTTTTTGGAACATATTTAGGACTTACAGTGAGGACCACCTATATCAGCCAAGGAAAATTCCTCCATGTGTCTGACCAAAGTAAATGCATTTGTATAAGAATAATCGTAAGTGATTTGCACCAGTACTTGTGCAACATAAAAATCGTTATCAGAGCTCCTGATAATGTAACATAATTTCCTAGAACTCACTGTGCTGGGATAAAAAGACAATACTGCTTTTAACAGAGCAAATGAAATATGAGAACAATATCTGAATAGTGACAAAGGGCATGATTTTGATCTTTGCTGAATCAGCAAATTATAAGTGACTCTGAAGTCAGTGGTTTCAGACTCAAGCCTTTCTCTGATCTCTTTTGTGCTCTTGTATCGGGCAAAGAGGCTAGTGAGCATCTAGCTCAGTCTACTTTGGGATTTCCCCTGGTATGGCCAGTGTCATCTGCAGCTGCCAGTATAAGGGCTCCATGGGAATGGGGAGACATGTCTAATACGTGCTGCATTCTGACAACTTGGGGTGGCCCTTTCTGGGTGCCACAGCCAGCTGGGCAATTTAAAGCAACATCTCGGAGGCTCTAAAAATACATCAGGGACTAAAGCAAATCCTAAGCTCAGGAAGCTGCAAACTAATGTGATGCTTCAGCTGCATTCAGCAAATAAAGGGTGCAGCTGAGGGTGAGGCCAATGGGCTTATACTGGTGTAAAACCAATATATGTGAGACCAGCCTCAAAGATTTTAGTTTTTAATTTTAAAAGTCTTTTGCCTCCAACGATAATACAGGTTCTGCAACAGTTATTTAATCTTCTCATCTTTTGTTTTCCTCCTAACAGCCATGCCCTAGAACTTATGCAATGGGGTGTTTCAGCATTACTTAGTATAATAGTTTGTATGTTAATATAGCACCACTAATTTTGAATAAATAAAAAAACCCTCTGCATCTCATGGATTGCAAACAAATCCTGTATCGACTATAATTATCTCCAATTATCATAATAAAGCAATTGGAAAACAGAGAGTATTCATATTTCACTTTACTCTGTATAAGCATGGTGCCTAGAATTGGACACAATACTCCAGCTGAGGCCTCACCAGGCTGAGTAGAGCAGAACAGTTACCTTCCATGTCTGACATACAAATGTATTGTACACTTCTGAATGTTAGCCTTTTTCACAACTACATCATGTGATTTACTTATATTCAGTTTGAGATCTACTGTAACACTTAGATCCTTTTAGCAGTACAACCAACTAATGATGAATTCCTCGTGGTGTAGATGTGCGTTTAACTTTTCCTTCCCAAGCGAAGTACTTTGCATGTTGTCTCTACTGAATTTTATTTTTTTAAATTTCAGATCAATTCTCTCATTTAAGTTATTTTTTATTTTAATCCTGTCATCAAAGATCCTTGCAACCCCTCCCAGCTTTGTCATCCACGAATTTTAGAAACATACTCTCCACTCCATTATCCAATCATTAATGAAAATATTGGTTAGAACCTAAGAACTGACCCCTGTAGGGCCCCCACTAGATACACCCTGCCAATTTGGCAATGAAATATTGATAACTACTCTTTTGAGTATGGCCTTCAAACAATATACCTTATAATAATTTAATCTAGATCACACTTCCTTAGTTGATTTATGAGAATGTGTTGTGGGACTGTGTTAAAAGCCTTATTAAGACCTCTATACCAGAGTTTCTCAATATTTTTTTTATAAAGAACCCCCTTTTAAAAAAATTATAAGTACCCCCAGTACCTACAGTTTTCAGACAGAAATATTTTTTTTCTACCATTGCAACACATTTGTTTAAACAACTTAATCATAGCCAGGTAGGTGATGACATTTTTGGGTGTAAAAACTACAAAAATAATAAAACACTGTAAAACTTAAAACAAAAATTTAGTTTTCTCCAAATTTAAGTTGTCTTGCCCAGATTTCAAATTTCAGTTGTACCCCCCGTAATTCTCTCAAGTACCCCTAAGGGTACTAGTACCCCTGGTTGAGAAACACTGCTCTATACCAGTAGTTCTCAACAATGGATATGTACCCGTCGGGGTATGCCACGGCTTTCCAGGGATGCCTCAACTCCTCTTCGTGTTTGATGGTCTTACAACAGGGTATGTAAAAAGCGCTAAAATTCATACAGACTTGCTTATACTGCTCTGTATACTGAAATGGAAGTACAACATAAATATCCCAATTGATTTTATACGGTTAAAATTATAAAGTAATAGTGTAATGATTTTATATTTTTATCTGATTTTGTAAGCAGGTACCTTTAAATAAGGTGAAATTTGGGACATACAAGACTAATCAGACTCCTGGATGGGGTACAAAACCTGGAAAGATAGAGCACTGCTTCTGTCTACCATGCCTGTTTTAGTGCTCATACTACATGTCACGCAGGCTGTGTAGCTCTCTTGCACACTGAGTTGTACCTTACTGTGGAAGTAGCATCCAAGACAACAGCTTCAAATGATCTGATTTTTTATTTTTTTCCTCTCATAGAATCATAGAAAGGTAGGAACCAGCTAATGGGATCAGAACATATTGCGAACAATGGATTAGTTATTTCTGGAGTAACATAGTTCCAAGGTGCACATTCTTAAATAGGATAGTGATATCAAGTTGTAATTATAGCATTGTATATCTTTTCGTCTTCTTACGCCATCTGTATCCACAACCAATGGCTGTTTTTGTTTTTAGCTGGGCCCAACTCCAGTAAACACAAAATTGAGTTATTCAGGTGCAGGAAAGGTTCAAGCGAGGCATTAAACTATAAACTCTTTGGGCCAAATAACTTGTTTATTTGTCCTATGCCATACCAAAATAAACAGACCATTTGCACCCTTAAAAAGCACATTCATAATTGTCCTGGCAAAGGTGAAAAAATGCTGCCTTCTCCAAATTTGCAGCAAGTCCCCTCCCCCCTTCTCCTGGGGGTTCTGGGACACCAGGCCTCAACCTGCCCGCCTTCATTTAATCCCACCTGTGCCCCAGCAGAAACTGAGTGCAGCGGAGTGAGAAAAATCAATGGAGAAAATGAGGCAGGCAAGAGAGCAAGAGAGGAAATAGAAGAGAAAATGCGGAAGCGGGGGCGAGAACAGGAGAGGGGCAAGGAGAGGGGCAGAGTGGGAGACGAGAGAAGAGGTGAGCCCGCGAAAGGGGCGGGGAGGAGCGGTGGGGAGGAGCCAGGCCGGGCTGAGAGGCAGCAGGGAGGGGTGGAGGATGCTGAGGCTGGGCTGGAGAGAGGCCAGCAGAGCCTGAGGAAGGGTACTAGGTCCCAGCCCCTGGCGCAGACCGCGGGCTCTTCACACGCCACTTCGGCTTGTGGGGCTGGCCGCGGGGAAGGGCGCGGGTAGCGGCAGCAGCATGGTGTCCGCCCCGCGGCAGGAGCCGCCGCCGCCTCGGGGCTGAGCGGCCACCGAGCACCGCTCCAGCTGCACTGCGTGGCCCGGGGTGGGCGGCTCCAGGTGCCCGGGCGGCTGGGCTCGCTCCCCACGGGGGCTGTGGTGCATGTTCGCCCCCTGCGAGTGCATGAGGAGAGGCGGCAGGAGGACCATGAAAATGATCCGGTTCCGGAGCTCGAGCATCAGGTCCCTGAGCCAGGAGATGAAATGCCCCATCCGGCTGCTGGACGACTCCGAGATCTCCTGCCATATCCAGGTGCCTGCCAGGGTGGGGAAGGGGAGCGGGACTGGGGCGGGGAGCCTGGCTTTGGCCGAAGGTGGGTGAGTCGTGGGAGGGCTTTCCCTGTTCTACAGCACAGGCAGCCCCAAACACACTACTCCAATCCTCTGGCTTCTCCACCATGCTAGGGGACATGTACAGGTCTGCCCCCCTTATATCCTCCCTCTCCTGGTCACCTGTCCCCTCTTTCCTTTTAGTCCGTGTGCACTGAAGCACATAACTGTGCCTTGGCATTTACACCGTGCCTGTGTTGCTCTGTCCAGTTGTATTTAGGGTGACCAGACAGCAAGCGTGAAAAATGGGGGCAGGGAAGGTAATAAGGCACTTGCGTAAGACAAAGCCCCAAACAGCAGGACTGTCCATATAAAATCAAGATATCTGGCCACCTTAGTTCTTTTCCTTTCTCTGTCACACTGTGGTGCGGTCATTACGGGTGTATTGAGAAGTTGTGTGCGGGGAGTGAGTGCATCTAGAGAAACAGGCAGGGGAAAGCAAAGGCCAAATAAAAACTGGCCGGGAGAGAGAGAGAGAGTGATTGGGGAAAAGTGCCAGAAAGAAAATTGTTAGAGAAGTTCTGTGCAAATGAATGAACTTCACTGGAATATCAGAGGGACTGGAACAATTTGCATAGTGGGGGTGCTGAGAGACATTGAACCAAATTGTACACCTCATGTATGATGGAAACGGCTTCAAGCCAGAGGACATGGGAGCACCCACAGCACTCTTAGTTCCAGGATCTAGGAACTGACTGCAACTGAGATGCTGGCAGTAGTAGTAGTTGTGTTGTAACTCCATTAATCTAGTTCATTATGTCCAAATCTCTTTCTCTCTGTGCATAATGTTTGTGTCTCCATGACACACTGGAAGATATTTCTTTCCCTGTAAAACATTGTAATGGAAAAAAGAAACCAAGTATAACAAGGTTTACAGTTGTAACTGCAGTGCTATATCTGTCTAAGAGCAATTAGCTATTGATTATGATGGTAAATTGCATTTCTGTTTTCTGGTAGTAGTGGATTCTGGATTTTTTCCTTTTGTTCCGTCTCCTTTCTCACATTGAAAGATTTTTAGTTTTTTTTTTTTTGGTGACAAAATCCATTGTGCTGGATCTGTGCATGCTGGCTGTTGTGTTGTGTGTTGCAGGCTTTTGCAGCAGCAAACCTCACCCTGCTGTTGGACTGAGCTGCTGCCCTGTTGCACAGGAAAGAAGTGCTTTCTGGTGCTCTGATTTGTGTAGATAGTTCAGGCACAGCCAGCCCCTTTCAGCTACAAAGAGGCTACTTACTGTTAGGTTCTACACCATTTATTAATGTCAAAGAGTTAGGCAGTGTCTGTGGGGTGCCCTTTCTACCTATCTTTTTATTTTTCCTCTCTAGACTAGAGGAAAAGCACTGTCTACGTGAATTAGCAAATACAGCGCCCTCTAGCAGTCCTGCTGCTTCTCCTGCTGTATACTATGAATGAAATATGTTCAGATTGTGTTTAACAATCTGCAAGAGCAGTTAGGCTTTGGACTGACACTCTACTGTTTTTTTTAAAATTCCACTCAGGCCTGGCAAAGTGACCAGTAACCATGTGAGAATTTGTAAATGCTCACCCATTTATTTTGAAGTGCCTGGAATCTGGGTCTCTTCAATATTCTCATAAAGTAATCTCGATTTCCTATTATATGAGTGTTTATAAGAGAAGCTTCATGTGTTGTTGCATCTATCGGATAAAAAATATTATTTATATATTGCAAAGGTGGAAAACATTCCTAGTACCTGAAGTTTCCTGTTATAAATGAAGCTCCAGTTCATCAGCAGGCATTAATGAAGTGTTTGACCTTTTCCACCTTGTGATGGATGGACCTCATTACCAATGTTAGTAAAATGTTATTTTGAAAGCAGTATCCAAAAGTGTTTGTGCTTCATCAATACTGAGCACTGAGAGAGTTCATAGCATTCAAAGTGAACTGTGTCTGAAGAAATGAGTTGAACTTCTTGATATTTGCCCACGAATAGGGATAGAAAATAGTTCTTCATGTGAGAATTTTTAATTTGACTTAACACAGTTGAATAGTTACAATCATGATGATTTTATTGTACTCGCCTTTCCTTACTTTTATCAGACTTGGGGGGGAAAAAAAAAAGACCCGCTTGACGCAACCACACAATGTAAAGAAGCCTGTGAAACTTCTAATGGAACAGAGATAGAAATGTAGCCGTGTTAGTCTGGGGTAGCTGAAGCAAAATGCAGGACAATGTAGCACTTTAAAGACTAACAAGATGTTTTATTAGATGATGAGCTTTCATGGGCCAGACCCACTTCCTCAGATCAAAACCTGAGGAAGTGGTTTTGATCTGAGGAAGTGGGTCTGGCCCACGAAATCTCATCATCTAATAAACCATCTTGTTAGTCTTTAAAGTGCTACATTGTCCTGCATTTTGCTAATGGAACAGAGTTTGTGTTGTTGAAGCATGATTATATTTTTGATACAGGTTTGGCAGTAAGGGAAAAATTCCTAATTAACATAACCAGAACTCAGATGTGTTGTGGATGTGAGGAATGCAGATAATTCTGTGAGCATTTGAGGCCAAATGCTTCCCTGTGTAATCTTACTGACTTCCCTAAAGTTATAGTAGGGACTAATTTGGCCCTTCCTTTCCTCTGCAAAGCCATTGATCACCACAGGCCTGATTTCCAGACATACTGAGCACCACAACTTGAATTGTAGTCATTGGGATTTGTGAGCGCACAACACTTCTGAAAATATGGATCCATGAATTTTGCAACTTTTTTTGCTTGAGCCAAATTCTATTCCGATTTACTTCCTGGGCAGCTAAATTCACGGGATCATAATGGAATTGTTCAGGATATAAATCAGTGTAGACCTTTTTGTCTTGGTCTTGTACAATGCCTAGAAGTAGCAGGGAATTACTGCGATCATGTACATGCACTGAATACCGTATATAATTTTTTGGCAACTTTCACTGCTGAGCAGTTTGGCTTAGGGATGTTAGATATTGTGTAAAATTGAGTGGTCATGTAACCGCATGAAATCCTAGTGGTTACACAACTATTCGATAGTCCTCGGGGGCTGGGCTAGCAGCCAGTGTGCTCTAGCCCCACGTTCGGGGAGCGCCCTGCTGCCTTTATCAGAGGCAGCCGCACAGAGTGAAAGGCGGGAGCTGGTCTCCAAGGGGAGCCAGTTTAAAAACCAGCTCCCTGGGCAGACTGTCTGCCTGTTGCCCTGTGCTGCTGCCTTGATACAGAGGGAGCAGCATGAGGTGGAAGCAACTCCTGTCTGCCCGGGTCTGAGCTCCCCATGGACAGAGGCTGGTCTGCAGCAGCAGCCTCTATCTCCGGGGTATCCAAGCTCGGACCCCCTCCCCGGGTAGGTGCTGCTGCTGCGGACTAGCCTCTGTCTGCAGCAGGCCCAGGTTTGCCATGGATAGAGACTGTTCTGTAGGTTGTGGAGCAGCCCCTGTCTGCAGGGGAGCTCGGACCTCCCACAGAAGGAGCTGCTTCCACGGACCAGCCTCTGTCCTTGGTGAGCCCAGGCTGACATGGACAGAGGCTGCTTTGTGGAAGCCTCCCTCACTTCCCTTCTCCCTTGCTGCTGCTGATAGAAGCAGCAGTGCTTGGGGGTGAGAGGGGCAGGCAGTACCGTGGAGCTGGTGCTGCAGGAACCGGCATTTAAGCCAGCTTCCCCCAGCCCTGGCTCCTGCCTGCCCCCTCCCTTTGCCACCTCTGTAGGAGGCAGTGGAGGGTGGGGCAGGTGGGTCCACTCCTGGGGAGCCTGCTTGAAAACTGGCTTCTTACCCCGGTCACCTTCTGTGCTGCTGTCTCTCTATCAGAGGCAGCAGCACAGGGGGAGGGGAGGAGGTATGGGCGCAGGCGGATCTGGAGCTCATGGGTAGCCTGCTTAAAGCCAGCTCTCACAGCCACCAGCTCCTGCTGTCCCTCCACCCTCCGCTTTGCTGCCTCTGTAACAGAGGCAGCAAGGTTTGGGGAGTGCATGTAGTCAAGAAGATTAACTGATAAGACCAGGCTCATCGGTTAATCGTGTAGTCAACTACATGTTGACATCCCTACTTTGCCTGGACTTTTCTGCTAATGTACATGTTTCGCAATCCGAAACAATCTTCCATTCTTTCCCATCTGCCAAAAGCTCAAACTCCTCCTGCTTAGCTGGTGAAGCTTCCACCTTCCTCCCAATAACATATATAGTGCAGTTACACTTTGTCAATGCAAAAATGTTTAGGTTATCAAAAACTGAATATGCAGGTACAATGTAAAATTTGGATTATAGTTACTGTACTGATTGTATTTTAATATTTAAATTTTAAATTATCTCTTGTTAATATTTTAAATTAATCTGCCTCACAATTTCCAATTTGTCAAAAATTCAGGGACTTGACCATGGATCGTACAGGGCCTTGCTTGAAACACATTTCCTTTGGTAGGCCTTTCTGGTGGTGTTATTGAACATATTGAAATGAAAATCACATTCTTTCATTCAAATGAACCAAATCCAAGCCTCACCACAAGCGGTGTCTGCCTTCAGCCTCTATATCATCTGTGTAGACTTAATTGACTGGATAAAATTCTTCAGGGACCTACGTGATATTCTAAGTTCATCTTTGCATGCAAAATGAACAGAAAATAGGTATAGAAAGCAAAGAAAGCTGACTTGTTTGGACAGGGCATTCAGCAGATATGCAGAGTGAGTGCAATGTGACTTGCTTGCAGTGGGCCAAAAGATGTTTGTAACAAGAGAATGGTGTGTAATTTGCCAAAAACAGGGCTTGTGAAAAGGAAAATCCAATTCAACCTACAAGTCAGTGGTGCTCATGCACATAAGCAGGAGCATTCACACACACACGCTTTAAACTTTCCTTGCACCCTACTAGACATCCTCACAATTTCATACACCTTCCCAGAATCATAAAAGAAATGTTTGTTTGGACAAAAAAGGTTGAATGTTAGTTATG